TCCTGATTGAAACAGAGAGACAAATAATAAATGGCAGAGCAATGACTTGAGAGCAGACAGATTGCGAAAGCCCACAGGTTTTGAAAGAAGAAAATGTCACAAGCAGTGACAACACCTTTAATTTAAATGCGAACAGGCATTGCATAATTCCTTGGTAATATTTATTGTCTTTCAGCATATGTTAAGGAGGTCTTGCTGAGGCATGTTTAAACTCACTTTGGTGGAATGCCATGCTATTCTCCTTCCAGGTGCTGCCCTGATAAACCCTGCAGGTGTAGGTATACGCGCGGTCGTCGGACATGGGCATCCAGGTGAGGCGACAAATGTTAGGTGACACCAGGGTCACATTGGCTCGGCGTCGGGTCTCAATAGGTGGGATCATGTGGACCGGGGTGTTTGGGTAGGTGGATCCCATGAGTCGCCCATCCTGTTTGAACTCGCAGAATGGCCCAGGGATCTTGTGGGTCTCTGGGAATTCACAGTCAACCCGGAGGTTCTTCTCAATGTAAGTAAGGCAGGAGTACATCTGTGGCCCTCGAGGGGTGTTCCAGAACCAAGAGTTAAAATCCAAGAAGCTGGGTTTCTGGTATGGATTTGTTGCAGTGATCACACCCACCATACACGACAGACATGCTACTGGGAGAAAAGCACAAGCACTTTAAAATATGAAATATTTTTACTATAAACAGACCTGAAGAAGTGTTATGAGCACAACTCAGAACAGTTGACATCAACGTACATGAACGTATACATGCTTTAAAAAGACTAAATAGAATAGAATAAATAGAAACTATTTTTGAGAAGCAGATGTAAGGAAGGGAATTGGATTTGATTCGTGGCCAGTACTGTGCTGTACTCTCTAACCTTGTGATGTTTAGATCAGCTGTCTCTACTTCCTACTGCACATTGGTTGTTCTTACGGGTGCTATAGTGTTATTTGTGTGTTTCCATGCGTGAGAAAATAAAATCATGACGACAATACTGCATAATAGTACTTTTGATTGAATTTTGACACATGATATGAAAACATGCTTTAACACTCTTCTGTTGTTCGGTCATTTAAAAAAAAAAGTTTTATTTTTTTACATCAGCAGAATGGTACAAAACTTGGTAAAGGTTTTGGCACTTGCTATGTGAACACACATACAAAAAACGATGGGCATGATTCGAAAAGAAAGAAGAAAAAAACACGCTTGTATTGTTTGCTGGTCAAAAATTGCCACATTGGAAATGAATGTGGGGAGTGAATTTTATCTAGTGGAAACTTTTGTTATTGCACCCAAACAAAATCTTACTGAAATTTTGAGATATCAGCCTCAAATTTGGAACACAACTTGTTTAGATTATGGCTTTGATTCTCTTGCCATTTTAGAATAAAACGTGTTGGAAATAAATATTTTATATAAAAATTTAAAATAGTATTTTTGTGCATTTTTGTGCAACTTGAACTTCTAAAACTTTTTTGTTTCACTTTTTTAAATGTTTTCACTTCAGCAAAAATCTGCCAAGAGACCAAACTTAAAGGGATATTCCACCCCAAAATGAAAATTTTGTCATTAATCACTTACGCAAGCAGCGTACGCTATTCTGTGTCAGCCGCGACACAAGGATACGTTTTCTACGTGTATTTACGCTTTGATTTGTGCAGCGCGGCTGACACAGAAGAGCGTACGCTGCTTGCGTTCAGTGGTTATTCTCCAAAATGGCACTATGGTGATGCGGAGAGACACAGAGGAGACAAATTGTTGAATAAAGTCACGCTTTGATTTGAACGAAAACAGCGCATCGTGCAGCGCGGCTGACACAGAAGAGCGTACGCTGCCTGCTTTCAGCTCATATTCTCCAAAATGGCGCTATGGTGATGCGGAGAGACACAGAGGAGACGAATTGTTGAATAAAGTCGTTATTTTTGTTTTCTTCGCGTACAAAAAGTATTCTCGTCGCTTCATAACATTACGGTTATACCACTGATGGCAGATGGACTATTCAGACGATGTCTTTCATACTTTTCTGGACCTTGACAGTGTAATTTACTTGGCAGTCTATGGGACAGTCACAAGCCTCCCGGTTTTCATCCAAAATATCTTAAATTGTGTTCCGAAGACGAACAAAGCTTTTAGGGGTTTGGAACGACATGGGGGTAAGTGATTAATGACAAAATTTTCATTTTGGGGTGGATTATCCCTTTAAGTCTGTGCTCCAAAGCATTCAAAATTTATGACAGCTTAAGTTCTATTCTCAAAAAGTGGTAACAGGTAATAATTGGATCAAAACTATTCCATTAATATTAAAATAATGAAGTACAAAAAAAGATCAATAAAAAATAAGATCAATAACATGCATTTAGAAAATAGGGTGAATTTTCACTCCATGCTGACTTTAAATGAGAAATTAGGAATTTACTTCAATATAAATTGCCCTGCAGTGTGTCAAAAGGTTTTTAAATAATATTCCTTGTAGTTAAATTCAATTAAAATGAACTCATAATAACTAAAGAATTGTTTTATAATGAAGCATAGGTTGGCCAATGTTTAATATTTCAGTTACCAAATAACACAGTAGCCCTGAAACCATCTCACAACATATAAATAAACAGGGAACTTTCTGCATTAATGTTATTTTAAGTAGTAGGACGAAGAATTGTCCTTTCACCTGCATTTATTGCATTCATTACTTAATTTTCTCTTTATAATTAAAATGTTAAAGGACATGTTACTTACATAACAAAAAACAAGCTGCTAGTGAAGGATAAGACTTCATTGCCTCTTCTGTATAGGGTCCAAATTTCCTTTTTTAAACAGCTGTAAAGAAAAATGTTAAACATGGACGCAGGCCTACACAAAAAAAAAACGCATGAGCATCGAGACATTAAATATAGAACCTGGGAAGGTCATTATGCGGCCCACCATTTTATAGGTGACAGCCTGATACCTCAGTATCAGACATCTCACTCATACACATTTCAAACAGACTAGCTCTATTCAAAACAGGGGTATACAAGTAGCCTAACAAATTCCGTCGGGCACTAAATTACCGCATACCGCAGACCGACCCATCCCATATCTGTTCAAGGATAGTGCAGCTCATTGAATTTAAATTTTTCTCTTACTGAAACAAACGCGCTGGCCTCTGAAAACACATGCAAATACAGACTGCGATATAGCTAAAGGACAATGTCTGTGTTACCTTCAAGCCGATATATTCGGCCGTTTCCTCTTCTGCACGTCACGGTACTCTAGTTCCACAAAAGATGCGAGTCGATGGAGATGCTGATGCTGAGGAAGCCACAGCTCGAGCATAGACTGCAGCCGCCAGGTCCTGCATGCACGAGTGTCAACTCTCCTTACAGCGACAACCCTGTCTCTGACTAATCTTGAATGTCTTGTTACATATTTTCCCTTTTATTAAAATAAGTGGGCACCCTTTAGATTGCTTATACAGACCGAGCTTGTTGCTATAAATGTAAACTGATTTTAGACATTATTAAGGATGTGGTAGGCCTAACTTCTAAAAGACCCCATAGGAGGACTAGGTGGGCTATATTTGGTCATCTGTGGGAATTTAGGCAGCCGTAGATCGTGCAAATGATGACGCGTCAGATTTTAGAAATTGCGCTTGCCAGCAGAGGTCGCTTTACACTAGAAATTAGAGGTTCCGTTCTATTTTTTACATGCAATGGAGGTGAACAAAGTTTAGGTTTAAGTGTCTTCGCCGCCTCAAATTTTCCATCGCTTGTTTCTTAAAAATAGTCAACTTCTCGTACAATAACCACATGTAATGATGATCTGAATCAGATGTGTTTGATTATGGAGACATGGAAAACATGCAGTGTTGGGGCGCCTCCAGTAATGTGGTTGGGAAACTACCTTGTAAATACAAAACACTAACTAGAGTTTTGTATTCACAATGCAGGTTATAAGTAAACTAGGCCTACACCTATTGGGGGAAAAAATTAACAAACAGAATAGCTTAGGTTTAGCTACTCTTTGATCTTATTCCAAATAGCTAATGTGTGCTATTAACTTACTAAGTCAATAACCCAATACCCATCAATAACCTATTTTGGTGTCCGCATGAAATGAAATTTACAAAAGTGATTTTATATTCATTATATAACTTTTGTGAAAAATAGCATGTCAAAATATGGGTGAAATAATGTGCCTTCGTTATTTAGAGTAAATATTTAAGTATATTTAAGTAAATATATTTAAGTAAATAAATAAGTAAACCTATATTTAAGTAAAAATGGCCATAGCCCACATTCATATAAGCCTATACATATAAGCCTATATAGGCCTACAGTAACTATTTGGTTTGTTTAAAAACAGAACAATAAAAAAAACAAACCTCATGATATTTTACTTTGTTTTCAAAACCCATATTTTTCTGATGAACAGATTTACATTATTAATGTTATTTAGCAAAGTTTTATATTTATAAGTCAAAAATAATTCAAAAGAAACCATCATATATTACCTTTTGTAACAATGATCTTAAAATATATTTTGAAAGCCTTTCTAATATAAGAGCATAAAATTCTCTCTTGGCTTATCAGGTGTCCAGGGTTTTTGGCTTATCAGGTGTCCAGGGTGTATCAGGTGTTTTGTTTTACATGCTTTAAACTGTACGACATTATAGGCTACCCTATATTTGCCTTGATTGAACAAAACAAAAAAACCGTGTGGAATAAATCTGTGGATGGTAAAACTGGGTAAAACACATCAGTCGCTGAGGCTGGGGCAATACGTAAATTTTGTACACTGTTAACCTACTAATAACAATTAAAATACAGAAATTCCTATTTTAGTTTATTCTGTGCTCTTTCTCTTCTGTTGCATCTCGTCTCTCAGTCTTTGCATCTGTTGTACAATGCTTCCCTCTATCGTGCTGGAGTGACGATCATGACCTGTCAACACACTTTGAAATGTTGTACATATGATTTTTTTTAAATACAGTATATCTTACTATAACTTTAAGCATTAAATTAATAAATTTCAAAATAATCATAAGCATCAATAGTAACATCGATTCGCGATACTCGTGCTTACGGAAGCGTCCCATCTCCATGACAACGCAAGACAACCAGAAACAAGGTTTGGGACGGCCTGTGAAATCACTGAAACATATTTGTGTATTTAGTGCTTTTGAACTGCAGTTACCACATCAAGATTCACCAAGATTTGTTTATCCAGAAAAAGCACCCGGGAACCGTGCTTTTCAAGCTGTCGTCTCGCCCTACAGGTTGGAAATAATATTTCAACAACAACAACAACAAAAAACTCGAAAATATGCCAAAAATGTCATAGTTGGTAGCTAATTCTTCCAAAAAATGTCATAGTTGGTAGCTAATTCTTCCAAAAAATGTCATAGTTGGTAGCTAATTCTTCCACGATATTGTTTTCGACAGTGTGTAATCGACATGTAGTAATTGTTTAGACTTTTTCAAATCATCATATCGTATAATCATCTATAATACATTTATTTTACATTAGGGATTCAAGGAGTCAGAAATGGAAAGTCCTCGTGTTGGTGTGGTGAGAGAGTCCATGCTGCATCGTCCTCTATTAATTAAGGTCAGGACTGATATTAATAATGATGGCTTTGACTAGTACTAGGAAAGTTAACTTTGTAAACGTATTTATATGTATAGCACCATGTATGAATGCTTTATTCTCGACTCGCATATATAATAAACAAACAAATAATTAGTCTTAATGTATACATTCCTGCTGTGTTTCACAAACAAATGGTGAAATTTCCACCTTTTTGTTTGGAAAAGCACAACAAAATAACAACGTCATAACTAAAATGAGCACTAGGTGGCAGAGTTAGTCTCTGAATAAATCTGCCCATGACTCTGACGCTTGTGTGATCTAGTCCAGCGTTTCTCAGCACTGCTCCTGGAATACCACAGCAGGACGACACATTTCGCATGTCTGCTTTATCTCACACATCGTTCAAGTCACGTAACACTAATATTAATAGGCTAAAGCGTAGGCTAGACCCAGAATTATACCCAGAATTTGCAATTTCCTGGTTTAGTCAGTTTATTTTTAAAAGTTCATACTTTGTTGTAAACACATTAAGTTATGCTCAGAAGACTGTTAATGGTCTGTGAATTCTCGCCTTTTTGTTAAATATGTGTATTGATTATTAAACTTTAATGTGTTTTTTTTTCATTAATTCATAAAAATAAAAAAAACACACAACTGAAAAAGATTATATTGTCTCCATGGGATTCAATATTCCAATTAATATGTTTTTGTAACCAGCAAATTGTTATTTCTTCTGAATGTTTGAATAAAGGAATTGTGCAAGTTAATAGCATCAAACTGTAAAGGTTCCAAAAGGGTGTTTTCACAATGATGCCATAGGAGAACTTTCGGTGAATAATTTTTTCTTAGTTTTTCTACTACAAAGAACTTTTAGTGCAGTTGAAAGGTTCCATAGATGTTAAGGGTTCTTCTTAGAACCGCAGATTGCAACAAAGAACTTTTATTATTAAGAGAGTGTGGTACTGAGATTTGAGGAACGCTGTTTGGTGCCGATCACATTTTTTCTCTCTGCCTTCTCCTCTAGTTAATCCTCTTTGTGAAACCCAGCGCAAGTCTTGAATCTCTAACTAAGTACTTCCGGCGTATCTTTCATCTAATTCTGCTTCATTTCAACTTCATCAAGTCTTCCATTGGAGCAGAAGGAAGAATGAAATGAACTTGCACAATCCTCAGTGTTTCTCCTTTTCCTTCGCTCCCATGGCCTTTCTCTCTTTTCACACTCATCCAATCATCCTGTCCATCCCTGGTGGGATAAGATGCCTCTGTTAGACCTTTGCTTGCTCTCGCCCCTCCTTTCTTTCTAATGTTCTCTAGGGTTATTTGATATGCCCCTTTTGACTGATGCAGAAAATAGGATTACTGTATTTAAATGACTATGATAATGAACTGCGTGCATGTTCCCATAGTCCCACGAGATCAAGGATTTCTCATTCTTTTTCATTGTGAGCAGTCATAGTTACAGGTTTTGGCAATGCGCTGGAACAATGACAGAGTCATCTGTGAGGATTTAAGCTTTTGTTCTTGTGCCGTTGCCTGATGTTGCTCTATTTCTTCCCTATCGCACGTCTAGTTTTGAGAGCTGTAGGTTCGAATGTTCAACCTTCTTCAATCAGCGGAGTCTGTCTTTGCTCGCTTGCAATGTAAAGGGAGACCCGTAAAAGGCTCATATTCATTAAGAAATAGGCCAACTGCAGCAAGTCCCTTGTGCTGAGCGCGTCTCTTGTCGGCCTACACAGCAGTTCATCATTGCTGAAGTTTTCTCTGCTTATGTAGGGCTGATGTATGGCTGTCCCATGGGGAAAAGGGACATATATCTTAGTAATGTGCTAATGGGCCTCAAAGTGAAAAGGAGATGAATTAGTCTGCATCTTGAAGCGAGCACCCAACGTGCGGTTTTCTCTGTTTCTGACCAAAAAGTTGATAGTAAGAAAAGTACAAAAAGGCCTCTCCTCTCCTTTCCTCTCCTCTTGTTAATTCCTTTTTGATGAGGCATGGCCAATAAATCCTGTTTTCATGCCTGTATTCCCTGATGACCAGTAAATTAGAGATCAGGGGAGCAGATTTGGGGCTTTTGTTGTTCTCTGGTGTCTGAGAGAGCCCTGCTGTGCAGCAGGCTGGCTGGGCCCCATTCACAGTCCCCTCTTCCCACTCATTACCATTCGCCTGTGTAGCTAATGTTAGACACGCGGCAATCTGCGGTTCATTCTTAAGCAAATCTCTACTGTAGCCGATACTTGCCTGCAGCGCAAATTTATTATGTATATGTGGTCTGGCCTAAAGCAGTTTTTGCCTGAATTAAACTTAAGTACGTGAAAATAAAAAAGATATACCTTTTGAAGGCTCTGGGTGCTTTAAAAAGCAATATCAGAGTTTAAGACTTGGCAAACGAAGCTCAAATTTCATACAGTTGCCTGGTGACTTTAATTGGCCTGTGGAATTTATTTGAATTGCAAAAGAACTGGCCCCGACCTTGACCTTCACCCACCTCAGTTTTACATAGGCATCTACAGTTAGGTCCATGCATACAGTGCCTCACTATCACTTCTGCAAGGTGCTTTAGCTTCCACACGGTCTCTGTGGCAACACAGGGCCTTATTATTAATGGGATCCAGCTGGGACTGCTGTAGACACAAGCACAGAGAGACAGATACATAAGCATGAACCCAATACGTAACTGTAAACTGCTTGCATAATAGATAAATGCAAATGAGATAAGTAAAGAGACCTTTGGCATATGTAGTCTGTCATAACAAGGGCTGTATGCATTCATTTATGGATTAAGAGAATAGAAGCACATATATCATTCTTGTCCGTGTTCAGCTGTAGTGCTAACAATTTATGTAGTCTGAGGGGCCACTATCAGCTGTGAAATATCATTGCAATTTAAAATAAAAATTATAATTGTATTTTATTACTGTCATGGTAAAGCTGAATTTTTAGTAGGCAGATTTGGTGCTCAAGAAACATGTTGAGAACAGCTGCTTAAATTTTTTGTTTATAGATTCTTTAATGAATGGAAAGTTGAAAAGAACAGCATTTATTTGAAATAGAAATCTTTTTAACATTATTAATGTCTTTTCAATTAATTTAATGCATCCATGCCGAATAAAGGTATTAATTTCTCTCACATCTTACTGATAGCTAACTTTTGAACTATGGTGCATTTTTCATGTGTTTTAATTAATTAATAGACACAGAAAAAAGTAATGTTATTGTCCCAAATTAATAATGTTATTGTACAAATTCAGTCCAGGTTAAAAACAGCTTGCACCCTTGAACATGCCTACTTTCTGTACCATTTATTAACATGGTTTAAACACAGTTTGTGATCCAAGTTGTGGATCGTTTTTATTAAATACACCCACACATACATACTCAAGCATACATACATCTAAAGCAGTAGGATAACACTCATCTGTATTGAAGAAGGGTAGCACAAGCTTGCCCAGACACATGCTCCCAATTAGCTGACCCTCTTTATGGAAATGCCTCATCAATTATACCCAAAGCTTCAGGATTTGCCACACATAAAGAGAGTTAGCATCTTAATAACCAGCCAGACTATAGAGGAGATGAGATGAATGTGCGTGATTGTTTGCATTGCACATATGCGCGCATTGACATTCTGGGGATATTAGAAGTGGGCTGATATTAATTTAGAGTTGACGGATTTAGCTAGAGAAGAAAAAAGCTGTGATCTGATGAGAAAATTAGGGTTATGATTCCACTTTCTCTCCTCTCAGCATTTTTGACCTAATCCTTATTAATAAATTTATTTTTCGCTGATTTACAAATGTTGGCATTTTCTGGATTGCTTTACAGCAGTAAGGTCGAAATTATGAGTATAGAGCATGTGTTCCTTTCTGCTTCTTTATAACAGTGAATATATTTGAATTCTCTCTCCATGAATTGTATCAGATCACAGTGTGACAAAGATACAGATTCTTTTTTGTGCTTCCCCACTTCCACTTTCTCTCCGCCATTCATTCCCTCTATTTAGTTTAGTTGAGATGAAGAGATTACTTTTAAGACAATGTGCCTGCTGTCCTGTAATCAGGCACCAGATGGCGCTGAACTGAGTTGGAAGAGCGGGATAATAATTAGTGGAGACAGTTCTGTGAGCATTACTGCCGTTATCCTCTAATCATCATCATGGGCACTTTTATTTGTAAGTCTGACGGAGAAACTGTCAGCGCTGATGAGATGATCAGGCCTGGCTCGCAGTTCTCCATGCCGCTGCCTGATAAGATTAAACCGGTTCCACAGGGAACGAATAAACCTAACGTTACTAGGTCTTGAACAGGAGGAGCAGACCAGTTTCATCCAGAAGCTTCCTCTCCGTGTAAATCTAGTAGCAAGGCTGTCGGGAACGATGTCTGGGTGAGATCAAGGGAAAAAAAGACAAATACCACATGGTATTCGCAACATCTGAGAAAAAAAAAACTTGTGCAAGTGTTCAAACAGGACCGGCGATGGGACTGAAAAGTGCAGCGATGGACTCACAGGGTCAGCGCTAAACTAATCTCAGCAGCTCAAGCCAAATCCTAAAAGCACACATGAGCAAGAGAACGCAAAAGGATGGTGAAATTAAAGCACGGGGAAATGAATAGACTGAAGGGGTCTCCTTAGTAAGAGATGATTATGTCCCCCTGTTCTCGGTCTCCTTTAGCCTGTGCGAATAATCTGCTCCCGCTGACCCTGGTGTAGCCTCTCCTGAAGCGGCCCTATTCTCATGCCGGCCTCTGGCTCATTCAGCAGGCCCATGCCTAGTTAATGAAAACACTATAGAGACAGATCACCAGTAAATGACAATATAAAAGGAGCTTTTGCTTAACATAATCCTCCGCCCGACTTGCCTTTTCTGTTGTCCTCTTCTCTTTCAGCCCTTTTATTGCGAATGAAAGGCCCAATAATGTTTTGAGGGGTCTGATTAGCCGTTTTACGCCAGCGGTCAACACGTTCCGTCAGGCATCTCTAAGTGATCTCCTCAAAACAATCTGCAGATTAAAATTGCGAAGGGGATTAAAGGGCTGGCCGAGAAGCCTGGTGGCACTTGCTCAAAAGATTGGCGCTTTTAAGAAGCGTTTGAAACGTTTCAGCAGACATGTTAACTAGGTTGGGTGTCTGTGAGTTAAAAAGGCCAAGAAAGATTTAGGTTATCTCAATTTGGCCGTGCTTAGGAATTCGTCATAAAAAAGAGCCAAGTTTGGCAGTCGTGTTTGGTTTTTGGAGGGCTTTACTTGCTCAGAATGATTGGTGGGAGTCCAGTGACAAATATCTTTCAAATCCATTTTTCAATGTAGACTATTCGAAGCTCAGAATAATGAAGGATTGAGGGTTTTTAACCTAGAATTAAGTCTTTAGAGCACAGCAAACACACAGAGATCTCCAGAGATGACAACAGGCTCACTGCGTTGATTCTTTTCTCCCTCCAAAAATCGCATACGGCAGCGTGAGGAGAACCGCCGACATGAATGTAACTCTGTGACTGACACATGAGCACACCTCCCTCATGTTCCATCAAAGATCAAAGATTTGTGCTTCTGGAGTGCTCAGGCACCATATTCCACAGATCACCTTTGATACATCCGGTTGTCACCTTTGCCGTGGTTTGATTCTCAATTTTCCACCTTTTCGCAGCTAAGCTGCTCTTAAAAAAAGTCTTTGAGCAGTTTAACAGAGCTCAGAAAAATAGTGGGCTTTTCTTTTGCCCCATGAGAGCTTCTCTCTGAGTAGATGATGATGGGGGTAAATACCCCCTCCAAAGCAACCCCCCTACACACACATGGTAGGATAAGTATTTCCTTTTTCAACTCTTTAGCTGTCAATCATCTTACAGTTATGACTCTGGATACATAAATCATACTCTACATGAACTGACTGGACTACATTGTGCTAGTGATTGTGCTAGTCCTGACTGAAGAAATCAGCCATCAAGATCACTCACATCAACGTTCAATGGGAATTCGTTTTACTGTGCTGCCAGACACCACAGTCATTTGGGCTTCTTTTTTTGCGGCATTTTTTTATGGTAATAAGTTTGTGCATAATTATGATTTTATTAATAGACACAATCAGATGCTTTTGTGTGCCAGGGTTGAAGGTGTAGGTCGGAAAACTGCCTGTCAATCAAGAAATCAGCCGCCACTCTAGAGGTCCGTAAAACTTTGATATCGTGATGCATGCATTGTCTTGCGCCGTTAAATGCATCAGTTAACAGCGTCTTTACTGTTGTGATGTAATTGAGGATGATTGACAGTTTGATTGACAGTTTACAGGTTCAGAAAAAAAGGTTTTGAAAAACAAGAGCTATTGTTCTGTCAGAAAATAGACATAAAACGGCGTTTGGAGAGAAAATTAGATATTTAGATAAAAACAATTACTAAAAAAAATATTATTTATAAATATATATATATTAAATAGTTATTAAAATGTACTTAAAATAAAAAAAATGAAATTTTCATTTATATTTAGAATTTAAGTCTGTCTACATCTGCATGATAGATAGATAGATAGATAGATAGATGATAGATAGATAGATAGATAGATGATAGAGAGAGAGAGAGATTTTTAATATTGCACAAGTGGGGAAAACTTGAACATATTTTTACTGTTCATGAGGTAAAGCCTGGGGAAAGATTTTTCTTATTTAAATTTATTTTAAAAATGTAATAAATACAAATATTTCATGAAATAGTGTACTTATGTTTTTTTTAATCTCATTATTGTGTTTTCTCTATAGCCAGCTCTTGGAAAGACCAAGTCGAGAGGTTTGTCCTATCCGGGACCTGACTTTGTTTTTGGGACAGCGACCACAGTTCAGGATGGAGGAGTGCCAGAGGGTAAGTGACAAAACAATTTTGTAAAATAGACACTATATTTGCCTTTAAAACTGTACCACTGTTGGCTTTACATTTGAAACCTCATCATTATGATTCAGTCATTATAAAGCTCCATCTACACTAACTCAAAGCCTTTTGTTTATGAGACACCACTCCCATTCCCCCTCAACGCTTGTCACAGGATGATGTCACAGTGCGTTTTCTTGAGTAAGTGTCCCCTCAGGCACTTAGCCTGTGCTGTCAGTGCGCTCCTGTTAGCATACTAAACTGTGCCTGGCTTCTGCACTGGCTCCCCGTCTCACACTTTAATTATGCACTTCCAACGGACGACAGGCAGTGACTGCAAGTGTCAAGCCCTTATACAGTCCCATAACCTATGATGCTGTTCTAGGCTGAGGTTACCCTGTCATGCTTATCTAAGCTTACTCATCACAAATCCTTATGTAACTATTATTGCAGAAAACACCCAAAACGGATCTCTACTTGGTTCTGAACATGTCAGCCAGAGCCTTGCTGGAGCCCATGCCTACTTTTATTTACCTGGTGTCATAATGGAAAGCTGCCAGTCACCAAAGCCATTGAACAGTTTTGCGTTTTCTCTGCCTCAAACTGCTGATCTGTCTATGGCTGTATCTATTAGTTTGAATACTGCTAATATTTCTAAGTTAAGCGTTCAGAACAAGGTAGAAGTATATGTCATTTATTTGAAAAAAAATCAAATTTTTGCTACCAATTTAAGTCATTTTAAGTTAATTTAACTTTTAACATTATTATTATATAGTGATATTTGTCTAAGAAGTCTCCAGAAGTCTTTTGGTACAAAAATTATGACTTATTTAGACCTATAAAACCAGTGTGTATTGCATCCTGAGAGACCAAAGCTCCCACATTGCAAGAAAAATAGTATTTTAAGTGATAATAATCTTTTAACAAGATAAATTTACTTTAAAAGCAAAATGATGTATGATTTCAGAGAATATTTCCTGAATCAAGTTTTTCTAACACTGTTGGCAAATTGGTTTTTTTGTTTTACGCATTGCATTCAGTTTCAGATATATCATCTGAAAGTAAGTCTTTGTATCTTCTGCAGTTTTGCTTCTCAAGTAAATGTATCTTCTTTTGATATTTTTAAGGAAAAACAAGACGAAAATACTGATTAGAAAAACTTGTAGTGCCTTGTAATCCTTCTCGTCAAAGGAATTTTGTGTGCTGAATTAAGTCTTCCTTGATTTCATAGTATATTTCTGCTGTGATTTCTCTCTCTCTTTCATATTTAGCTATCTCTAGCTGGCACACTCACACTATGTCTACCAGAAACAGGGAGGCTGAGAGGGATTTTATCGCCCTTAACCGAGAAGGGGTCAAGTCAGGCTTGGTTACTGCTAAAGAGCTGCACCAGTACCGTGCCACCCACGACATTCGGCGCCAGCCGTTGACCAGAGAGGGGTTTCGCAGGTCTGCCCCAGCTCGCATACCACCAGATGCTTCGTTTGGAATTACTAACAAGTGAGTGTATAGGTGTGTTCACCATTATAGTCTCAGTCTAATCTCAATCAAAGCTGTGCTGAGAGGAATCAGAAGGAAGCAAATCATTATTTTTAGTGAAAACAATAATTTACACTTTCAAAGAAAATAAGAATACTAATATTCCTATCAATAAGGCTGTTACTACATTATTTAAAAACTCACTAATACATTTTTATAAAGAGGAAGAAACCGTTTGTAAATCTCTACATACTGATATGCATTTTAATGATACCTCCCTCTGCCTCGGCTTTGTCTCTTTCCCACTGTCTGTTTACATCTCCCACTCACATATACACACCCTCACGTCAGATATAGGCAGTGAATCAAAACATTCAAAAACACTTGGCACCGCACGGGAAGAATTTTATAGTCTGCCACAAAGCTTTGTCTATAAGAAAATGTCAATAAAATTTTCATAAACATATTCAGTAGCATTGCAGGGATTATACACCATTACATTTTAGATATTTAACAATAACATTTCTTAAATTAATTTGGGGGAATTATTTTGAAAATAATCATTATATTTTAAGAATTTTGTTTTGCTTGGCTGCAAATTATAGCCACTAGCCAGCCATGTAAATAAGCATCTGAAGAAGCATCTGTCAATTGGTTGAATCGGTATTAGATTGAATAAATGCACCTACTTACCAGCCTTTCAGCAAATCATTTAGGACTTCTGGGTGAATAGTATTTCTGTAATTAATAATCATGAACCAGTAATCAGTTCTGTACTGTAAAAAAGGAATTGTTACGCAAATTGATGCATACAGATTTTTTGGTTCTCTCAACTATTGTCTTAAGACTTTGTTCATTTACTAAATGCAAAATGTGTCATTCAGCCAATAAATTAATTGAGGCAACCACGGATTTCTTGTTCAGCAAATGTTCATTTAGTTATACAATAACTTATTGATCTAGCATTTTGTAGTCACATTCTTTACCAAGCAAAAATGCTGTACACAGACTTCAAAATTTGACACAAAAATCCAGGTGAGAATCAAAAAAAAAAAAAAAAGACAGCAAAACAATAATCCTACAACAATAACAACATAATTAATTAATGCTGCAATACATGCTGGGAACTCACAAACCCAGTATAGTTGAATCCGTAAACTGGAAAATATCTAGTTGCTTTTACTCGCCTGGATATATTGAGGGAGCAGATCTGTAAATGGGTCTATGAAAACCTATTCTGTACGCCATTCTTGTGTGGGAATCAGAGTTGGGTGGGTGTTGATCAACTTAGAAAGTGATTAGGGTGTTTTGTTTTTCTGGATGAGGCAAAAGGCAAGAGCAGGAAAGTGATAGAGGTACAGAAATGTATATCTGTAAGAAACAGAGAGAAAGAGGGAGAAAGCTGTGTGCCCACTGAGATATGACACGAGCACTCTGCTGAGAGCACAGGTAAGATTATTACAGCGGTCCGCAGCGCCACAAGCTCCCTTCACTCCTTCCTTCTGCCTTCTGCCTGCTTTCTTTTTTGTTCTCGTCCTCTTGGGCCTTGATACTGTTGAAATGGAGCTGAATTATTTAACTGAAAACACAGCTTTGTGTCCAGACTTTCTCTCTTTCGCACACACACACACACACACACACACACTTGATGTTGATACATCCAGTGTGAGAAGTGCTAGGTGAGAGTGTGTTTCAAGAGCCAGTCAGGAGGGAGGAGGTCTGAAGCAATGAGAGGTAAGATCAGGGGTCCACAGGGACTTGTTTGGCCCTGCACTCTATCCATCATATGCCACGGTTCAGCCCTAATGAGGGTGTGCTAGGATCCTTGCACAACATGTCACCATCCCCATACACACACAATAAATACAGCACACACATGCACACAAGAGATATATATCTGGAGATATCTATTTGAGATATAAGAATGTTTGTTTTCACAACTTTACACCTGGCAGTCCAAGATCAAATGCCAGTGAAAGGGAAGTGCTCGGCATTCCATTGCACTACCTAGAACCTCATCCAGTGTTAGGATGATTGAATTGGGAGGCTCCCTTAGCTGCCTATTTAAACTCATTAGGATGTTGAGCCATTGATCACAACGCCCAGATAGAATATGCATAACGGCATAGGGTACATATACTGGTGATTATGAGTATGATATATCACTGGTCTACTAACATACTGAACGTTATTATATAAACAGCTGCAGAATATGGTTATGGTCCCAGTGTTGGGCAGTAACTTTTGCAGTAACTAGTAGTGTAACTAACATTACAGTTACCATCCATAAAACAGCTTGTTACTTAGTTACTTTTGATGCCTCAACCCCTACTGATTTGAAATCCAACAATCCAGTAATTTTGATGACTTGCACAGGCACATGAAGTCACCAGTGCTGCAGGCAAGCTTGGAATATGGAAAAGTATTGCCATTACATTGATTTTGTCATGAGAAAAAATTATCTGAACACTGATGTGTAAGTTGTGGCATTATTTTACTCTGGCATTACATGGCTTGCCCACCCACATCCCTCTGATCCTGATATAAATTGTATTACTAGAATTAAAAATCTTTTTAGAAAACGTATTTTCTTATGAACTTTTGTGATCTCTTTTGATAAAATACATCATGAAATAGAATTGTATATGGGTAACAGATATTATAGCAACAATTAGCTTCAAACTACACAATTAATGAGAATAATACAACACTTTTTTACTTAAACGTTACTATCAATCACCATTGAGTGTTTGTAATAACTTCTGACTGCAATCCAATGTGAATTTATAGCGTTGGAATTTTGGTTAAATTATGAGAAATATATAGCCTATTGTTAGTAACATTTTAGAAGAATTTTATGGGGAAGATAAGCAATTACAACGTCTGTGGGTGAAAGAAAAGTAATGTAACTAGTAGTGTAACTAAACCAGAAAGTAATAAGTACCGTAATATTATTAGGCCTACTTTTGAAAGGAGTAACTAGTAATGAGTAATAAATTAATTTTTTTGAGTAACTAGCCCAACACTGGTCACTCCAGTTTTAGAAAGATAATGTTTCTTTACGAGAGTGACAACCGTATTCTGTAACCGAATTTAAACACGTTCGTACATTTTCTGGACTCAGAAATCATTTTCGTCGAACCTCAGCTGTGTGAATGGAACAGTATGGCGTGTTGTGTTTTCGTGTTTGTTTTCACGAACTTCGACGGAGATGTGTGCCACCTGAAGGTTTTAGATTCAATCACCGTCTTTCATCCGCGCTAATCTCGTCAGATTTGTGGTCTGTACGCGACTCGGATAATTAAGATTTGACAGATGAACTCGGCCTCGATAGTAGACTACTCGCTTCGCGTCAACTACGATACCAGTGTGAACATCGCCATCTTTGATACACAGTTTTGTCGCTGTCATTATGGTTACAGATGATATTCACGGCTAGCGCGGCAACAAAAAAGGAGCGTCACATCGATTATTCGTTCATAGAGTAGCGACTCGAATACTGCATGTAATGAGTTGTGTGAACGTTTGAGAGTCACACCTGTTATTAAATGCGACTGTCAATGCCAAACACTGAACATGGCTTAAAAGAAATATCCACTTGTAGAAATCTGTAAACAATAAACATTAAAGGGATAGTACACCAAAAAGTGAAAATTGTGTGATGTTTTACTTACCCTTGTGTCATTCCATGACCTCGTGCCATGCATGATTTACTTTCTTCTGCAGAATACAAAATATATTTTACAGAATGTTGGAAACCAAACAGTTTTGGTTACCACTGACTTCCATTAGGCCTCAAAATATCATATTTTATGTTCCCAAGAAGAAATAAAGTCATACAGGTGAGTAAATGATGACAGAATTTTCATTTTGTGAACAATCCTTTTATTGTCAAATTTGATTATGCTTTTATCTACCAAAACAAGTGTAAATCACAGAATTCTTAATATTCAGATGTGGGCAACCTAAGAAAACGGTTTTGTTCCATTTTAGACCATTCACCCCAATCTCAGAGCTCATGGAGTATAAGTATGCTCAAAAATGGCTGGAAGAGCAGCAGGCCAAGGACAAAATCCTGCAGGCCCATCGGCATAAGAAGGTCTGTTGAAGATATCACAGAATGACTTTAATATTATCCTCCGCTTCTGAGAAGAGTGATTAAGCTGTAAGTGTCTATTGAATCCTTCACAGGCTCAGCTTGGACGTATACAGGATACACGAACAACCATGCTCCGCAAGAGTCGCCCCTTGTCCGAGGCCCCATCCATGTGGAAAATGCCTCGTTTCCAGCAGGTGAAAATTCGCTTAGTGCCTACTAATTCATTTTCACTCTGTAGTCTCCAAGCTAATTTTTCTTCCACACCTAATTAGTCTACTTGTTTTTTAAATAATACATAATTATATTTGTGGCAACTATATGCATTTTATATTATATTATTTTTTTCATTCAGTGGTTTAGTTGACTCCCACTGGAAGGATAGACAGGATCAGTGTACTGTGTGTGTGTGTGTTTGTGTGTGTGTACATGCATGAGAGAGAGAGCGAGAGTGTGTGTGTGTGTTGTGACAGCGTGAAGTATGAGGATGCCTTGCTGAAAAATCTACGCTGAAAGTAACAATATCTGCCTCAAGCCCTTACGATTGTTCACATTTACTCTAACCCCTTCAGTTTTGGTCCCTCTGCTAGCCTTAATGCAAAAGAACCAAGTAAATCAAAAGTGCTTTGTTTTTATTGGTCCTTTGCGTTGACAAGCAGACTACCAGCCTGACAGCTCTACCTGTCAGCGGGGCATGAAAATTCTCTATTGACAATCCCCAATGCTTCCAATTATGAAGGAATCAGACTCCTGCTGAGCTAATGATGGCCCTTACACACATCCAAACACACCTTTACAAGCACTGACGGAACACCACAATACATATGCACTAGCCACATTATTTATTTACACAGGGCTCCGGACTGTGAGTAAAAAATGTTGCAAATGCAACAAAAATATTAAATAATTTTAAAAATGATTTAAACCCAGTTGAGGAAGTTTTGTCCATATGTGATATCATCTTGTTCTAGTGTGAGTCGCTGTTTCTTGCACACAACAACAAACACAGCGTGAGACCACAATCCTTCATGTCTGATATATGAAAAATGACTTCTTTTTAATGAATCACTTTTTATTGACGTTAATTTGACAGTGTGTTGAAATAGAAATATACATTCATAACAGTTTTGTTGTTTTGTTGACCGAATTAATGTTGTTCTATTATTGGTTATTGAGAATGATATTTGGTTGTAAAACATCAAATTGGAACAAATGTATACAGTATTTAAGCCATCATATTACACAGAAGTGACTGTTGTAAAAAATATTAATTTAAAAGCCTTGAGAATTAAAGATTTTAGCAAATTTATATATATATATATATACAGTATATATATAAAAATTTTGCTTCTAATATTTCATTTTAGGATCCAGTCGGTATCTCGCTTTTTTTTCGTATCACACAAATATAGGAACATAAAACTGCATAAACACAACAACATGGAGATATATTTATTTGCATGACACATGCACATGGTTAAACATTAATATTATTGTTGTACGGTGCATATAAGCTATCTCTCACACACAATGATATACCATACTGCTATTTTTTTCCTTTTAACTCTTTCCATGCACCCCTCCACCATCCTATTTTTCCTCTGTCTGAATTTCCTCTGCAAATTACAACCCCCTCCCCAACCACACACACCCCGTGGCTGCCTGTCCTGTCGTCCACCCTCAGTCGGCTCTAATGAGGGAGGGAGAGTGTTATTTTGGTTGCACGCCTGCGCTAAATTCTCTCTTGTATGACAGCTGATGGAGAGAGAGAGGAGCGTTAACCTTATAAAAGATTTACCTCTGCTCATTACAGCCTGTCAAGTAGCTGTCCTGATAGCACCAGGTTCGACATTTGCATCCTTGACTCTCTTCTTCATTCTACACTCATTTTCTTCATTCCTGTTGTTTGTTTGTTTGTATTGTCACCTTCCTTTACATCTCTTTCATTCCACCTTTTTTGAGACGTGTGTTCCTCCTATTAATTCAGAAAGGTTTGGAGGTGTCAAAAGTGTTTGTGGGAGGCAACAGATTTTTTAGAACAGAAAAAGGAAAAAAGATAAACAAATACATATATTTAAAACATGATGTGACACACCGGTAAAGTTTCAGCATGTTTTTTTTTTCTGTTCAGAAGCATGCCATAAACATGGCAAACATATAAAATAGAAATTTTCATACATATTTTTCTTACATATCTGCCTGTTTTGAGCCATTGTTCAAATTATAAATGTGCTGTTCCAACAAGTTCTATTATTTAATAGCTGTCAGTATACATTTTTACGTACCAGCTTAGATGCTACAGAAGTAAAACATGGGCAAAGCGTCTCTGCTGCCTTTTACAGGGGTATGTTTTTTAATGTTCGACTATTCTGACTGCACTTTTGTGTATCAAAACAGAAAGTCTTCCAGGTTCCAACAGTGCCATCCATGTTACTTTTCTCTGTCATTCATATCTTTTTGTTTTTGGTGTTGAACTGCAATAAGCCTAAATCTATTTTCCTACTCTAGCCCCCCACTCAGAGTCTGCAAGCAGGAGAGGGATTCTGGGTCAAGGCACTTACACAGTGGATTAACAGAGCTAAAATTATTACATTTCAGCCGCAGCGCCTATGTGAATCAGGCTTCTTCAAGTATTAATCTCTCAATAAAAAAATGTGATGTCATTTTTTATTATTTTGTCTACACTATATATATATATATATATATATATATAACATTTCTGAAAATTTGAATTTAAATTGAATAAAAACTAAGTGTTATCAATAAAAATGTATCATTTTATAGGTATGCCTGGGATATCTGAGAGTAGGAGTGGGGGTCTTTGGGTCTGTGCAAGTTTAAAAACCCTGGTTTAGATGTTGGTTTGAAAGAGGAAAAAGAAACCGTGGTAAAGTGGTGAATGTAAAATCTAGCACCTTGTGCAGGATCCGCATGTCACGTATTACGTGTCTGCGATTTATTTAGAAGAAAAGAGGGAGGGCTGACTATCTTTCTCTCCCTCCCACAACACATACGTGATCATCACCCCCCAAAAACACCCTTTAACCAATAACGACGTGGCGCTCGGGACAATCGCGGAATGGATACCTTTAAAAGCTTGTTCCTCCTCCGGTATTGGCTGTTTCCTTGAGGGTGTCATTTTCAGGTCGTGGAGATCACTGCCTGTGTTTATACTCTGTTACACAGGTTTAGTCCTTGCAGACCTGGACTAGAACTTTACACATCAGCATCGGGTTTAGGTCAGAGGATTTGGGGCTTAGTAGGGTTGTAGTTGTGTCTCTAGAAAGCCAGATAAGTTTCCAAGCTAATGAATAGAGTTATAATATGAGTGCTGTTCTTATGTAGTTGTACCTGTCCTTGGTGCTGAAACTGACCGGTGCACTTCACAGATTTGCTTTTGAGGAACTGTACGAAAACAAATTCAACAAAACTGACCTGCAGTCAACGACAGAAGAAGGATCTGCTAAAAACAACTTAGAAAATATAGGACCTTTTTTTCCCCTGGGACAAGATCTAAAGGAGTTTAGCTGACTTTTTTTTTTTAAATGGCCAGAATTATAATCTAAATTTACAGTTGTAAATCTACCAATTTTCGTCGTATCACCAAAACCAGTGTCAGAAAGGACAAATGCACATTTGATATCGATTTGTCTCGCGATGGAGGTATCAAACGGGTCGAGCTTTGGGATCGAGTCTATACTTTCTCACAGACCGACCAGCCCGTGTATGTCAAAGGGGGAGTGCAGGTCTCCAGCGGAGTTGAGCCCCCGGTCGAGCGGCGCGACAAAATACTATAGAACATGTTATTTTTTTTTTTTTTGTCTACACTATATATATATATATATATATATATATATATAACATTTCTGAAAATTTGAATTTATATTGAATAAAAACTAAGTGTTATCAATAAAAATGTATCATTTTATAGGTATGCCTGGGATATCTGAGAGTAGGAGTGGGGGTCTTTGGGTCTGTGCAAGTTTAAAAACCCTGGTTTAGATGTTGGTTTGAAAGAGGAAAAAGAAACCGTGGTAAAGTGGTGAATGTAAAATCTAGCACCTTGTGCAGGATCCGCATGTCACGTATTACGTGTCTGCGATTTATTTAGAAGAAAAGAGGGAGGGCTGACTATCTTTCTCTCCCTCCCACAACACATACGTGATCATCACCCCCCAAAAACACCCTTTAACCAATAACGACGTGGCGCTCGGGACAATCGCGGAATGGATACCTTTAAAAGCTTGTTCCTCCTCCGGTATTGGCTGTTTCCTTGAGGGTGTCATTTTCAGGTCGTGGAGATCACTGCCTGTGTTTATACTCTGTTACACAGGTTTAGTCCTTGCAGACCTGGACTAGAACTTTACACATCAGCATCGGGTTTAGGTCAGAGGATTTGGGGCTTAGTAGGGTTGTAGTTGTGTCTCTAGAAAGCCAGATAAGTTTCCAAGCTAATGAATAGAGTTATAATATGAGTGCTGTTCTTATGTAGTTGTACCTGTCCTTGGTGCTGAAACTGACCGGTGCACTTCACAGATTTGCTTTTGAGGAACTGTACGAAAACAAATTCAACAAAACTGACCTGCAGTCAACGACAGAAGAAGGATCTGCTAAAAACAACTTAGAAAATATAGGACCTTTTTTTCCCCTGGGACAAGATCTAAAGGAGTTTAGCTGACTTTTTTTTTTTAAATGGCCAGAATTATAATCTAAATTTACAGTTGTAAATCTACCAATTTTCGTCGTATCACCAAAACCAGTGTCAGAAAGGACAAATGCACATTTGATATCGATTTGTCTCGCGATGGAGGTATCAAACGGGTCGAGCTTTGGGATCGAGTCTATACTTTCTCACAGACCGACCAGCCCGTGTATGTCAAAGGGGGAGTGCAGGTCTCCAGCGGAGTTGAGCCCCCGGTCGGATCTGGACAGCGGCTGTTCGTCGCCTCCCTCCCCGAGACGGACCTCGGTGGAAGACGCGGTGCAAAGACACGCTCGCGCCCTCGGACTGGACTCTCCTTTACAAATATCCCAGCAGCCGCGAACAGTCACGTCCTCGTTCTTGATCAGAGACATACTAGCGGACTGCAAACCCCTGGCTGCCTGTGCTCCTTATTCCAGCACTGGACAGTCAGCACAAGATAATGAAGACTGCATGGACAAACTTCACAGCAATTCGTCCTCGGACAGTGAATACAGGGGTGAGACACACTAAGCTTGTTTTTTTATAAAGCAAAATATATACTCAACAGATTTACAATGCAAACACTGTTCAATTATTATTATTATTATATTATTAGTTTTACATTTTATTTTTAGATTAAGTTCAAATTGATATATGGTCACACGCCGTTTTGCATTTTTACATTCCTAAGAAATTAGGTAAAAATTACTAGTGAAGATAAATATGTAAATGTATTTTTTTTATGTTTCAAATCGAGATCTAAAATAAGAAATCTGTCCGAAAACGGTGGTTTTTCTAAGAGATCACAAAATAATTTCAAATAAATAGGCAGCACTGCTGCCCTTCGTCAAGAAAATAATCTAATTATTTATATTTTTATGATCACGTTTTTCGTTTTCTATTATATTACTTCCTATATCGCAGTGCAATGTAATTAATCGTTAAATATATTTGCAATCGAAACATATGGTATTTAAATAAAAACTAATCCCTGTTTTGGAGGTCATTTTAGCCTAAATGTATAATGGTTTCGAACACAAATCAAATGTCCGGATACAGGTTCAATCAACTGAGAGAGCCTGTTTGCTCACAATTAAGCTCACAACTAACTGGCAATAAATGTGTTTCATTAAACAGCCTAATTTTGGCTCTGAATTTGTTCATCTGATGATCAGATGTGTAACACAATGACACGCCGCTTTTGAGAGGCTTCAGTTCTCAATGCAGCTCAGTTGAGCTGTTTTTAAAATGATTTAATGCAAAATGACAACAAATTAATATTATCAAGTGTTCATTGCTGTTTAAACGCATGTCTAAGCCACAGGCATTTTAAATAATGGAAATAACTAAATTTACTAATGGGAAAGGCAATATAACAAACGTAAATGAGCTCTGGTAAGAAATGACAATTCTGTCAAAATGACATGCTTATGGTATAAATATGTGCATGGCGTTTTCAGTGAAAGACGAAGCTGATCGAGAAATCTCCAGCAGTAGAGACAGCCCCAGTTCCCGGCTGAAGAAGCCTCGGAAAGCGCGCACTGCGTTCTCTGATCAGCAGCTGGCGCAGCTAGAGCGCAGTTTCGAGCGTCAGAAGTACCTCAGCGTGCAGGACAGGATGGAGCTGGCAGCGTCCCTCAACCTCACCGACACACAGGTCAAAACATGGTTCCAAAACCGCAGGTGAATACAAACATCATATAGCCTACTTTTGCACACTGTCAAAGATGCAACTGACTAGCAGCTATTATGCGGGCCGAACCACTTTTAAAAGCGTTTTAAATTTACAGGTTTTATACAAAATCACTATGGAAGGTTTCATATTTCTGAAATATTATAATATCAGCATTATTCTGTAAAATAATTGGTTATGTGTTTTTTCTGTCATGCTGTCAAAAAATTAAACCACAACAGGAAAAAGTTGTGCATAGCCTATACAACCACGCACACCACGACTCCAACACATTTAACGTTAGTCATAAATAATAAATTACCGCATCGTGTATCAATAATTTAGCTTCCGAGCGGTAATTAAACAATTGCCAAAATTATTAATTATTTACCTGAAATGGCTCTTTGCTGAGTGACAATTTGACGGATGAGTGTTCTACAGGATATTACACGGATTCATCCTCGACGAACAAAAACTTTCCATGAAGCGCCAAATAGCCTATTTGTTTGTAGTTTATTATTATTATTATTTAAATATGTATAGCTCTGACTGCATTAAGGCGATGTTGGAAAAAGCAGATAGGCCTATTTGTAATTTTATTCATGTTGTTTAAAGGCATTTTTGAAAAAGTAGCCTACTAAGTTCACCTTGCACCTTGAATTTTAAAACATTTGTGAATCACGAGGTTTTCTTAGGGTTACTTTATTTGATCTGAGCAAATCGTTCCTTTTCATAGAGTAAAAATGTCAAATTATGTGAAAGAAAAAAAAATCTATCAAAAGCCTAAAAAATGAAGACATTGACACACCTAAAGGGATCGTCTTCGTTTTATGGTTAGTGTCACATGACAACAAAATGGCTTCCTGCATGTTAGTTACGCCACACTTTGATTTGATGGACAAGATATAGGCTATATATATATATATATATAAAAAGTACAACAACAGTAATAATAATAGAACACATTCTAGACTCCGAGATCATTTCCAACAATTTCAGTCATTTGAGAAGAATATTTATATATAAAGAAAACATGAACATTATATTGCAAATTAATGAGGCTGTTTGTTTCAAACAGAACGAAGTGGAAAAGGCAGACAACAGTTGGACTGGAGCTCCTCGCGGAAGCAGGGAATTACTCAGCTCTACAAAGAATGTTCCCATCACCCTATTTTTACCCTCAAAGTTTGGTGTCTAACCTCGACCCGGGACCAGGGTTGTATCTGTACAGAGGGCCGTCCGCGCCTCCACCACCGGTTCAGCGGCCTCTGGTCCCGAGGATCCTCCTGCACGGTCTTCAGGGCGGCGGAGACCCAGCGTCTCTCCCTGGAATCATACCGCGACATACGCCGCGATGAACTGATCCAGCCTGACAAAAAACTCCAACCTCAGGAACGACAGGGTTGCGCTTGGACAATACCCATGTATACTGAACATATAAACGCGCAATAATAGACTTTTCAAATGACTCTGACCAAAAGGTGAATGCTAACTATTTATTAAACTTTAACGTGCGGAAGTAGGCTAGTTATCAGAAAATTATTTGACGAGGTTCCATCACCACATGAACCTCCTGACTGTTTTCTGAAAGAAGTTGCTCTCCCCCTAAGAAATGGCGTGGTTTATGTGCACAGAATTATGACGCAAGCAAACCAAAATAAACATATCCTTAAAAACAAAACAAAAAAACAATTCAACTGAACCATATGCAATACAATTGTGAATTTTTTTTGTGATAAAAATGCATTGTAAGAACAAAAATAATAAAACTAAAACACTAATAATAACTAACAACTGTAATTGTAACAAATGTAATTTGTCACCGATTAATGTGATGGTGGTGGTAGTGCTGAGCGGCTGTTTCACAAAAGTTAAACCGTTTTTCTAATGAAATGCACAGATCAGCGCAAAAATGAGCCTACTAATGGCACTACAACCTATTCAGACAATGAATCCGTTTGTGTGGAAATTGTGTTGTGCTCATGGGTAGTTTACAACCCCGATCAACAGACGCCAAAATACTTGTCTAAATAAAGACTGTGAACTTGTCACGTATGACAGAAGTACTTTATTCTTCGATATTCTCTTGGTCAAACAGTTTTTGTATATTAGTTGTGAATATATGGTGCATATAATGAGCTTTAAAATAAGCAAAAATATCATTTTTATAACTGCATTACAGCTGGACATCAAACCAACAGCCCGTGAACGCAGTAGGCCTACGCAATAAAAACAAAATCTTTTCCGTCTGTTTCCTGCGCTCATATTGTGACTTGTTCTCCCATCCCTCCATAATATAAGCATAAGCATATGCATTACTGCCAAAGGAAACCTTTTGTGAGCTCTCTATACAAGAGCTTCGTACAGAGAAGCACACTCACATCGAAACCAGCGTATCTGGGTAAGTGGTTTGTTGTGTGGGTTTAATTGACCAATCATAA